CGCTGTATTATCTAACTTACATATATATCCTTTTGTTTTATTCGACCTATTTTTTTTTGCTCCAACTCTTTTCAGTTTACTGCTGTTAGTATTCTTCCTTTGTTACATTGTCTAATCTCCTGTTAAATTTTTCCTTCATGCAACATACTATCGTTAAATATGACAGTAGTACAGTTAGTCGATGCATTGTTAAAATAAGTATAACTGTTTCACATTTTGAATCAAAACAGCATTGTAGTTTTATGTCAAGTTTACAAACTCAGCAGGTTATTCGATTTTGTTGAATGTTCAACATATTAGTCCCAGTATTATACATTCATTTCATCTTCAAGCTAGTATATTAAACTTCAAACTACACTCTGTTCGTATATCCTGGGACACCCGAGTGAGCAACGCTGTTATTAGGAAGCGGGTGCTAGGTAAGGATGGCAGGTCAATAGATGAAGTAATGAAACTTCATCAGTTGAGGTGGTTGGGACATGTGTTGCGTATGCCTAACCACCGACTGCCTCGAAGAGCTTTGTTTTGTAGTGTAGGAGTAGGTTGGAAGAAAGTTAGGGGCGGCCAAACCAAAACATGTCACAAATCCATGAAATCATTGACGAGTGGACTTAGCCATATCGGTAATTGTCGACTACCTGGTTGGGGTCTGCGAGATCATAATAATCGATGGTCAGAGACCTTGAATGACATGGCTCAAAACCATTCGCAATGGCGGCGGTGCATTTATTGTCTGTGTTTTCTCAAGTCCTTATCTTCTGGTTTCTTCAACAACTCTAGTTTTGACTTTCTAAACTTTTCTCACTGGATCATACTTCTTGAATAATATGTTCTAATACTAACCTCTGCGATTGCTTCTAATACCTTTACTACCGCTTCTACTATTGGATTTGAATTGACCAGTTGAGTCTCTGTGCTGATGTGGTATGGCAACATGAACTGATGTACTTACGTACGAAGTTCTACGTTGCATCTGACTGACTGAAACTACACTCTGTCAAGTTAGTAGTATTAAACAACCCCAAACTTTAGGCAGCATTCAAACCAGAAACTTATTGGTTGAATGTCGACTGTTTTAACCACTAAACCATCTGGAAGTATCAATGTTATGTTTCCCAGCGGAATACATTATTTTGTATTACTAACTGAGTTGAGTTTTCTTTTCAGTGTAGCCGTCTTACTGGTTTCTACTGATAATACATAATAAATGTTTCTGAACTATTTGATTATACATCGGTCAATATATTAAATTCAGTTAATTTTCTGCGTATACCTGTCATGTAAAATTGGGTCCTAATTCTTTTAGCTTATTCCCATAATTTGCCATTTCACATTTGGTAAATAAAAATAAGCTAAATTTCTATCATTATTGTAAAATATCTGAACAAAAATTATTATTTTAGTTAGTCATCAGGCCCTACATTTATAAATCCCTATGTCCCAACTCGATTAACAAATACGATCAAAATCGTAGTTAGGAGCTCGCTGGTTTCCTATGGTTGTAGTCTGTTTTTTTTGGCTAACATGACAATATTTACAACCGCTATATATAAAACTGGAGAGTTTATGATGCTCCTTACTACCGATTTTATCACCTACTAATTTAAAATTCTTGTAAGACCATTTTTAATGATTTTTCGCAGCGTCGAATATATTATTATATTGTCAAGTCTTCTCTTTGTTTTCTCTTGGTTATACTGTGTCAATAGATGATTATTTTGAGCAATTGTTTTCGATCTCAGTATTATCGCAGCATTTCTAAAGAATCTAAATTTCACTAAATAAATGTTCAGCCATTCAATCCTAGATGAATCTTATTAATGTACCCAGAAAGTAAATGTTTGTCTATATTGAAGGAAGTTGTTTTTATTCACTAGTCACAGTAATCAGCGCTTCAGTTTCGACAGTCTGACAGTATCAACAGCCATCAAAAAAGCATTAAGACTCACAATTGAGTACATAATTCCCTTTATATGATCCTAACTTATCACTTTTGACTACTAATAGTTAACGGTGTGACTCAGGATCTTATCTAGTGGATAATATTTTATCTATTCTCATATTGCCCCCTATCTCCAACTTTCACTTAGTTTATACATTTGTAAACAACACTTTTGGTAGTAGAAATTGATCAGACTCATTACTAGTTTGAAGCTAACCTCATAGTTCTATTACATTTCTCATTAATGTTGAGACTACACAACGCAATGTCCTAACAATGATCATAGGTGTATTCGAAGCATTGCTCGTGTATCCTGGGACGACCGAGTAAGCAATGCTGTCGTTAGGAAACGAGTTCTAGGTAGGGATGGCAAGTCAATAGATGAAGCATTGAAACTTCATCAGTTGAGGTGGTTGGGACATCTGTTACGTATGGCTAACCACCGACTGCGACGACGAGCTATGTTTTGCAGTGTAGGAGTAGGTTGGAAGAAAGTTAGGGGCGGCCAAACCAAGACATGGCGGCAATCCATAAAGTCACTGACAAGTGGACTGAGTCATGTTGGTAGATGTAGGCTATCTGGTTGGGGTCTGTGAGACGAGAGTCACGAATGGTTAGAGACCTTGAACGACATGGCTCAGAATCGTTTGCAATGGCGCAGGTGTATCCACTCTTTGTGTTCTATGAGATTCTAACCTTCTGCATTCCTCATAATCTCTACCTTTCTCCTTCTAAATTTATCTCACTGAATTATACTTCTCGAATCATATCTTTGCTCCCTAATCTTCTCCATTGCTGCTAATAATTCTACTATCGCTATCACTCTTGGATTTGAACTGACAGTTGCGTCTCTGTGTTGACGTTGTATGGCAACTTGAACTGATTTACGTATGTACGAAGTTCTGCGTTGTATCTGTCTGTCTGAGACTACACAACGTCTATTATTTAGTCTCCCTAATATATATCAAATCACTCTGTAATCGGGTATTTAGAGGGCGCTTTTCGGTTACTCGATAGTTTGTATAAACTCTCAAGTTGTACAAACTTATTAGATCCTACCATAAATTTTGGCTCAGCTGAAAGATTATTCTAAAAATCACTTCATATTCGCTTATTTGTATAAAACAATCAAATTAACTAAATACAGTATTTTGGTCTGACATATTCTTTTTTTTGCAAATTAGTTTTCTCCGGGTTTTCTAATGAACAAGTTTGGTCTACTAATTATCCTTTCTCTTAATTAGCTTCTCGCATGATTGCTTCCATATATATATATGTATGTATGTGTGTGTATATGGTTTTATGCACATATAAACATGCTTAGGTAGTTATACTTTGTTAATATGTAAGTGACATACCTTTATAGTTCACGTTAATTAAGAATAGTCAAAACCTAAGTTGATACATAATGTTATTTCAACTCTTCTCTGTTATGATTTGGCAATAACTACGATTATATATATATATATATATATATATATATATATATATATATATATATATATAATCAGTTTCTTAGTATAATACCATTTCATTATCCCCTTTTCCCTGTTGTTGTTGTTGTTGTCACCTTTCTTCACTTTGTTATTTTTTTTTCATTTATTCTTATTGTCATGTTACTACCATTAGGGACAGAAAGCAAATTTAAAGAAATTGTAAAAGATAAGTAGTGGTAAGATGAAAGTAATATTTCTAATGCAATAAATAATGATATCCTTAAAGTAGAATTCATTTCCCTGTTTTGTTAACTGATCATATTTGTTGGACAAATGAGCAGCATATAACCAACCAAATTTTAGGTAGTAGTAGAATGAGTAAAACAGAATAAATAAATGTCAATAAGTAAATAAATTCATCACAAATAGTAATCATAATAGTCTATGAACTAATTAACTTTTAGGGAGAACTTATTTAAACTTAATTATTACATAAATTACTTATTTGTTTTTGTATATGTACAAGTTTTTGTCTATGTGTATATGTACTTAGTAGTAGTAGTATAGATAATGTAATTTTTCAGTTAATTGTCATTTACATAATTTTACCCATAAAACACTTAGGAAACTATAAATTTTTGAATTTTTTTACTAGCTATGTTTGTTAATATTTAAAAGTTACTACTGTTTGAATAAACTGACAAATTTTCTTTGTTAAGATGTAGTTTTATTAGAAAGGAGAGATTGCAATAAATTTGTCATATTAGTATTTAATATTGGTTTGTTATTCTGTCAGCATTGATCTAGTTTTGTATTTCAGTTTCTCTTCTATTGATATTCAACGCATTCTTTTTGTTTGATTTGTATATATATATATATATATGTATATATACTCTCTATTCCAATTGTATATGAATTTTAGGTCTATTGAAACTCATATATTGGTTAAAATGTACTAGACTTTGACCCGCAATTATTAAAGTTACTGAATCGTTTCCTAAACTAAAATCTGTGTCTGAAACTAACAATAAAAAATTTGAAGGCTAGTATATACAAGTAGACTGAGCCATGTCGGTAGTTGTCGACTACCTGGTTGGGGTCCGCGAGATGATAATAATCGATGGTTAGATACCCTGAATGACATGGCTCAAAACCGTTTGTAATGGCGCCGGTGCATTTATTCTTTGTATTCTATCAAATCCTAATCTTCTGGATTCTTCAACCCCTCTAGTTTTGACTTTCTAAACTTTTCTCACTGAATCACATTTCTTGAATATCTTTTCATCCTAACCTCTCGGATTACTTCGAATACTTTTACTACCTCTTCTACTATTGGATTTGAATTGACAATTATATCTCTGTGGTGATGTGGTATGGCAACATGAACTGGTGTGCTTATGTACGAAGTTCTACGTTGCATCTGACTGACTGAGTATATAAAATCGACAAAAAAAGTTATATAGCGACTAGGGCATTTACATTTATTTCCGTATTACTTGATGAATGTTTTCTTCATTATTTTTATAGGCTGTTTGGTCTATCAGGAACATGCGCCAAATGTCGAGTTCAAATCCCTCCAAATGAATTAGTAATGAGATGTCAAGATAAAGTATATCATGTGAATTGTTTTTGTTGTACTCATTGTCATTCTCCATTGCATCCCGGTGATAAAGTATGTTTTATGGATGGTAATTTATTTTGTGAACATGAATTTCCTCATTTATTTTCTGGACCACCAAAACTAACTTCATTAAGATTAACATCATCTTCTTCAAGTCCTTGTACTTCAAATGATTCTGAAATTTGTCGTAATCAAATGAATATTGAATTACCAACAAAAATAAATGGTGCATCATCTTCTAGATCGTTCAATATGAATTCTGCATCATTAGAACAGCAACAACAACAGCCATCTGGCAATATGCTTAATCCTAAACTTATGTTTTCACAATCTGATATTATTTCATCACTTAGTCCTCATCCATCCAGTCCAAGTATGTCATTTCCTAGTAGTAGTAATATGCAACCTAATCAAGATAATAATCAACAACTTATTCAACATGGATTTTATGTTACAGACGTTGAACAATCATTCAATGATACATCTAATATTGTACAAAATACATCTGAAAAACCTTTAAAATCATCAATGATTAATACAGCAGCAGCAGCAGCTAATGAAACAACTAATGGTCGTAAAAAACAACAAAAAGTAAGTTGATTTGATAAGTTGGTTTATTTAGTATCATTGAATGTTTTCATTAGAAACGCAAGAGCACAACAGTTGTCATTACTTTATATTTTCATTTAAGTTGACAAATAGTTAATTCAAAACAGTGGTTCCCTCTGATAAATTTGAATAGAGAAATGAGAAGACATATTTTGTGAGATAGTACCATTTCGTGCTTTCTCGTCAGTTACATACAAGCAACATGTTATATGTGTAAATACAGTATTGAAGATAAGGTCAAAATTTCTTATTTAGCATGACATTCACTCACCAGAAGAACCATGGTAAACAAAGGTCAACAACATACAGTTGTTTTTGAACACATAAAGTTGGACTTTTCCGATCAATCAAGATATCTTCGAGTAGTTTCAGTGTGTGTGGGTTTTGATGACATGTCACAACTCTAAAGGCTGATTTTGGGATTTATTAGTTTCAATAAATAAAATGAAATAGATTTGCTGATTCGAAATTTCATTTGCTCGAACATAATCAATTCTGTAATTCAATGTTTTAATTTTAACATGTTCAATGAGACAATTAAGCGGATTATAAATAATCAATCCAGTATTATTCATATACATCCATACACTTGAATTGTCCTTTGAATTATAGAGACGTCTGAATCATAAACTTATCACAAAACTTGTCCTCTCGAAAAGGAATGAAATTCCATCTGTACACATTAGTGTAATTTGGGTGTATTTAATTTAGTTTGACTTTTTATATGGTATGGAAAAAATAACCAATGACTTCGGAACTTATGTATGTGAACAGTGTAAGCAACTTAGGTTGGAAAAATTCCGTATAGTTTACATATTTGGTAAAATTTGATTTCATACTACACAGCATCGGAAAATGTTTCAATTATCAAGATTTAGAGTTCATGCCCTTTGCCAACCTGCGTCACTTATGGCGTAGGCGAGATATCCGTTTGCTGACCGAAGGACGAGTGTACTGCGCAGCAGTTCGCTCCGTCTTACATTATGGCTGTGAAACATGGCCAGTGAGAGTACAAGATATTCGTCGGTTACTGGTTTTCGATCATAGGTGTCTTCGAAGCATTGCTCGTATATCGTGGGACACCCGAATGAGCAATGCTGTTATTAGGAATCGGGTGCTAAGTAAGAATGGCAGATCAATAGATGAAGTAATGAAACTTCATCGATTGAGGTGATTGGGACATGTGTTACGTATGGCTAACAACCGACTGCCTTGACGAGCTATGTTTTGTAGTGTAGGAGTAGGTTGGAAGAAAGCTAGGGGCGGCCAGACCAAAACATAGCAGAAATCCATGAAATCATTGACAAGTGGACTGAGTCATGTTGGTAGTTGTCGACTACCTGGTTGGGGTCTGCGAGATGATAATAATCGATGGTTAGAGACCTTGAACGACATGGCTCAAAATCGTTCGCAATGGCGCCGGTGCATTTATTCTCTGTGTTTTCTCAAGCCCTTATCTTCTGGATTCTTCTACACCTCTAGTTTTGACTTTCTAAACTTTTCTCACTGAATCATACTTCTTGAATAATATCTTCTAATCCTAACCTCTCCGATTACTTTTAATACCTTTACTACCTCATCTACTATTGGATTTGAATTGACAATTATATCTCTGTGCTGATGTTGTATGGCAACATGAACTGATGTACTTATGTACGATGTTCTACGTTGCATCTGACTGAGAGTTCATGCCCACTGTAGGATGTAGGTACATCCAGCTGACGAGTCCCAAATGGATAGAAACGCTTGTCCTCGATTTCACAACTAGACGTAATTCATTTCTTTTAAACCATACTACGATCAGTTAAAAGAAAAAATTTGAGTTGTTAGCATCACAACTCTTTTCTTTGGAATCATCACTTAATGTGGAATAGAGTGATCAAAGCTTGAGCTGTCAAGCTTCAAAAATCTCAAAGTATCAAAGAGATGACTAAAGCTAGTCTAAAGTAGGTTGTGATTACCATTATACTGTGTGTATTTATTTTATCAGGCAATTTCTCTGCCACGTCAGTCAGTCAGATGCAACGTAGAACTTTGTACATAAGTACATCAGTTCATGTTGCCATACCACATCAGCACAGAGAAGTAATCGTCAATTCAAATCCAATAGTAGAAGAGGTAGTAAGGGAATTAGAAGTAATCGGAGAGGTTAGGATTAGAAGATACTATTCAAGAAGTATGATTCAGTGAGAAAAGTTTTGAGAGTCGAAACTAGAGGTGTTGTCTCTGTCACGTACTTTTTCTAAACTAACTAATTTAAGCAACTAGTTAATTAACTCACAATAACTTCAATTTCAATTGCTTTTGTATACATTCCCATACGAATATTTTCATACTAGGAACTAATAAAACTGAGATAGCATTACAGTTTTTCAGGGTGTATTTATGTCAAGTATTTGTTTTTAAAGCTCAATTCTATTTTATTAAGTGTTTCATTAATATTTTTCTTATTTGTAGAAAGTAGATAACCGTCGTTGTCCTGCACTTCGTGTTTGTTAAACTTCAAAGACTGACTATATTGTGATTGGTCCTTTAGAAGAACCACAATTCTCTTTCGCCAATTTTTTGAAACTTTACTTCATAAGAGAGAGTTGAACGTTAATCTTTTTCTGTTTCTTTTTTTTTGTAATAAAAAAATTTACCAGACTATTTGAAAACAATGTACTATCTCTATCAATTAAAACGTTCAATATTCATTATTCTTTGTTACAACAGTTTGTACAAATATTTCTTTTGTCCCATCTTTAATACTGTGCAGATATAAATAAGCACTTAAATCTCATGTTTTAAAGAATTAACATTTTGTGTTCTTTGGATTCGTTGGAAGGGGATCGCATGTATTTTAAGTGAATATGTTATTCGTTTGTGTTCGCTGACAAGATGCAGAGTCTTCTGACTACCAAAAGCAACAATGCGAGCATGTTCGGGATGCGGTTTTCCTCCTCGAAATGCAAAATGTTGCTTCAAGATTGGGTTGCGTCGGCACCTGAACTAGTGATAGGGAGTGAAGTAGTCGAGCGTGTTGATCACTTCACTTATCTGGGGAGTCTCATCAGTGCTGATAGCCTGGTGACTGACGAAATCTCTGCTCGGATACAGAAAGCACGATTGGCTTTTGCCAACCTGCGTCACTTATGGCGTAGGCGTGATATCCGTTCGCTAACCATACGATGAGTGTACTGCGCAGCAGTTCGCTCTGTTCTCCTATACGGATGCGAAACATGGCCGTTAAGAGTAGATGTTCGTAGGTTACTAGTATTCGATCATAGATGTTTAAGAAGCATTGCTCGTGTATCCTGGGACGACCGAGTAAGCAATGCTTTCGTTAGGAAACGAGTACTAGGTAAGTATGGCAAATCAATAAATGAAGTGGTGAAACTTCATCAGTTGAGGTGGTTGGAACATGTGTTACGTATGGCTAACCAACGACTGCCTCGACGAGCTTTGTTTTGTAGTGTAGGAATAGGTTGGAAGAAAGTTAGGGGCGGCCAGACCAAAACATGGAACAAATCCATGAAGTCACTGACTAGTGGATTGAGTCATTTGGCAGATGTAGACTACCCGGTTGTGGTCTGCGAGACCATAGTAACCGATGGTTAGAGACCTTGAACGACATGGCTCAAAATCGTTCGCAATGGCACCGGTGCATTTATTCTCTGTGTTTTCTCAAATCCTAATCTTCAGGATTCGTCAACACATCTACCTTTGTGTTTCTAACCTTATCTCACTGAATTATACTTCTTGAATAATATCTTAAAACCCTAGTCTTCTTCATTACCATTAATACCTGTTCTATCTTTATCACTATGGGATTTGATTTGACATCTGCGTCTGTGTGCTCATGTGGTATGGCAACCTGAACTTATGTACATACGTACGAAGTTCTTACGTTGCAACTAACTGACTGATTCGTTTGTGTTACATACATGGTTATATCGTTAAAGTAGTAAGTTCTCACCAGAATCCTTGAATTAACTTTTTCCGTCATTGCACAATTAGTCTGTCTTTTACAATGTAGAATTTGGTATATACGTACACCAGTTCAAGTTTCCATAACACATGAGCAGAGTGAGATGGAATTGTTAACTGAAAACCAATATTTGTTTAGGTAGTAGAAGTATCGGTAGTAATTGCGAAGATTAGGATCCATATTCAAGAAGTATAATCCATTGAAATTAATTTAAAAAGAGAAGGATAGGGATAATGAAGAATTCAGAAGACTAGAATTTGGAAGAACATAAAAAGTGGATGAACTTGTGTCATTGCAAATGAGTTTGAGCCATATCATTCAAAGTCCCTAACCACCAGTTACTGTTATCTCGTAGACCTTAACCATACCATGTTTTGTTTCCGTCACCACTAGCTTTCTTCCAACCCACCCTCACATCGCATACGTAACACATGTCCCGATCGCCTCAACTGACAAATATTCACTACTTCATCAATGATTTGTCATCCTTATCTAGTATCTCTTTCCTAACCTCAGCTTCACTTACTAGGTGACTCCAGGATATATGAGCACTGATTCTAAGACACCTATGATCGTGATAGCGCACTACACCTTAAAAAGTAGCGTATCATTCCACGAGATTAGATTTAATATCTCAACAGGTTTTACCCGATATACCTTTTAATGTATAACGACTGATGACATTTACCTCATACCTAAGATTGTTACTATGTAGAATTTTGCAATCTTAACCGATTGTACCGTAGTTTTGTAACTATGATTCCTCATAGTTTGATAGCATGCAGTGTTTCTCCAAGTAGAATTTGTCATTGCGATCTATTAATTTAGATTTTTAGGTGTAGATAAAGGTAATAGTAATGGTTGTTTTGTAAAAGCTGTCATACTACGGAATTTCCAACTGATAAAACCTATCGAGTACTACGACTATTTTAAGAGAGTTGAGTTCCGAAAACTGATGTAACCACCGTATAGTTTAGAGAGACTCAGTTACTTGGTTCACCTTTTAAGCTAGCCGAAGAAATGGTTATCATTTATATATCTAAGGTCGTTATTAGATCGCGTCTTAATATTTATTTTTATTTACTGTGAATGAATTATGAGATATGCTTCATTTGATGTTTAAAGTAACCACTAATGTTAACATGTTAGTAGCCACAGGCTTGATAACGTGCATTCTGTCTTGATGGCTGTGACCCCCAATGAGAATAATTGAAACTACGTTCAATTTACTTATCTTGTAATACTTTTAACTAAGAGTTAATTAAACCACACAAGGTCATACCTGGAGTTATTTAGAAGTCAAAATAAAAACTTACTACTTTTTTAAGCAAGTGTGTTTTCTTCCTAAAAGAAGCAAAATCCGGATACGACCTATCAGTCAGTTTTGTAGAATAGGTTCCTTTAAATTTATTTCTATTACTAAACAATAATTAGACTGGTAGTTGAAGATTTTCGTGACCTATCCAAAATGGAAACAGATGTGATGAAAATCTTAACAAAAATGCTTAAAATTTTAATACATAATATTCAAACACAATACATCCCAATAAAGTATTTTCGAATGAATCAGGTATGTAAACAACTAGTCAAAGCTTAAGGAACAAACAATCTTATCATATATGAGAAGATTTAAATAGTCAACAACAAGGCAATAGAGTATGTGAATTAGAAGGGGAATAGTGCGGTGAAATAAACTTTTCAACTGTGATGTCATCAACTGAAGTTGTTCAATCACATTTGAAAGAATCTCTGAACACCATAACCTTATTTGTTTTCTACTATCCAAATACGATGATTACCAGAAAAAGAGAATTTTGTTTGTAGAATTGTCTGTATAAAGCAATGTTGGGAAACATGCTCTGAACAATCTCAAAAGTAAATTTTTAAGGTTTTTAATACTTCAATAGAAATAGGAGCTAATAGTATTTGATAAAAATAACTAATAAACTTAGTTTTTAAGGGACTGATGATGATGTGCATAGACTAGTGAATTTTAGGGATTCGATAATGCCAGTTAGGATTCGACCAAATCAGAACCAAGGTAACACATATGATGTGTTACAAATCATACGATAAAATAATCTATCTATCAAAAGGTTTACCTCTAGCATGATAGCGTAGTGAACGAGAACACAGGTGGGGGCAACCGCATTGTATGTATCGAAAATTACAGAGTTACTCAGTAAAATAGGAAAACCATATCGTAAATTGTTCATTTGCAAAATATCAGTTCATCATATCGAACTGGACTGTTCCTATTGCAAAACATCAATCGATTGTCATTATTCATGCGTTTCATACAAATTCCATTGTTTTCTAACTCTTCCTTTCTTGGTCTTCCGACATCTTCTGCTGCCAGACATTAAGTTTAAACTCGTGTCATATACTACTTATAAGTAGCTCGCACCACAATAGTACGCAGTCACTGAAGGAATGCGAAGAGGAGCATACGGATGAGTATATGATGAGATAGATAAGAATACATAAAGATATTAGTTGGTGGCTCATTGAACACTGCATACACTTTTGAAGGATCAGGTTAAACAGTTCTAATACATTGTTGGATGGTAGACCTAACACTAGGTAAATGTTAATTTCAAACAAATGAATATCAGACAGTTTGCCTCAAACGATTATACCATATTATTTACAACAAGGCATATTGAAGTATATTATCAGTTATTTCACTCTTAACACCATAGTCAATAATCATCTTGACTTAAATCTGATCTGCATTACGGGGTTAGGTTAAGTTACACATTTTTTTTGAAACCATGAATCGATGATCAATGTTAGACCACCATTAGAAACCTGGAAGCACTGGACGGCCGTTTCGCCCTAGTATGGGACTCCTCAGCAGTGCGCATCCACGACTTCTGCACCCCACAGGATTCGAACCCAGGACCTTCGGTATTGTGCGCGAACGCCCTAACCGTTAGACCACTGAGCGCACTGCTAAAGAGTCCCATACCAGGACGAAAAGGCCGTCCAGTGCTTCCAGGTTTCTAATGGTGGTCTAACATTGATCGATTCATGGTTTCAAAAATGTGTAACTTAACAATCTTCACAACCCCGTAATGCAAATTACCTGTGCTCACTAGTGGTGACTAGCTTCGTGAGGAATCTTCTCCGAGTTCTAGTGGGAAGACGTGACCAGTGAAGTTCAACCTTTTCGGGTGTAGGCAATGTCTACCGAAGACTGTGTATGAGGTTGCGCAACTCCGTGAATTTGATCAAGTTAGACATTAACACCGTTAGATACCGGCTCAATGGTCTAACGGTTAGGGCGTTCGCGCACAATACCGAAGGTCCTGGGTTTAAATCCGATCATCATCATCATGATTCCTGTATTGTCGTAAACGCTTTTTTGTTTGACCATTTTAGTGAAAGTTTCACTATACACTCGTGAACAGGGAATCGGTGTCTTCTTCTCTTCGCCTTTTTTTTTAAAAAAAAATTTCATACCCTAATGGTATTTTTTATCAATTTAAACAAATGGGCTAATACATTATCGTACTAGTCAAAAAATGAAAAATGGTAAAACAAAAAAACTGATTGTTTAATATATTCTAATAGTTTTGTTTAATGCTTTTCTTTTTTCCCCTTTATATTCGAGTTTTTAAGAATAGAAAATAACAGACATTAGTCATTGCATGAATTTTTTAAGATTTATAAAACTTTTCATCATATGTAATTCAACTACAGTCAATTATTTTGGGGCAGAGTTTTGGAGGTTTGCGTTTTTACACATTTGAAATCATCAATCAATCATTGTTAGATGACCACCATTAGAAGAAACCTGGAAGCACTGAAACACGGCCATTTC